GAACCCTAAAACCCTAAAACCCTGAAACCCTGAACCCTGAACCCTGAACCCTGAACCCTAAAAATAAAAGCATAGCACACACAGCAGATGGAATTTCTTTTGGAGGCACTACAAAATACAAAACATGAGAACACTACACATGGCATATCACATCATAGACACTTGAGACGATAATCAACAAAAATAAAAAAACCTTCTAGAAATAAAAGATAATTTAAAGAATAAAGCTAATGAGGACTCCATAAATATTATATAACAACCAATGCATCTTAAAGATCAAACATGTTTATACAAATAACAACAATAATGACATAGCCAGTAAAAGAATATTCAAATGAAAACATATTGGGACATTGATAAGTACATTCCAAACAGTGACCAAGAATTAGAAACACCAATTTCTGCATCTCATCTGGACAAATGCCTATAAAACATATTATTACATATGTAAGAGAAGTAAATGAAAAGATGAAGTTACCCTGATAGTTTCATAATTGTTCCATCGAACTTCTGCCCAACCTGAATCCTCAACACCTCCAACCGTGCAAGAGCAGCTTCTCCACGCTTAGTCTTGTGAGGGATCATTCTAACAAATATATATAATATGTTACTCAAGTATAACAAGTTTCACCACTTCAATTAGTATAGGAAATGAATCAGCAAATGAACACTAATTAAAAGGCCTCTGTAAATAACTCTGAGTTTTATCTCTACTAGTTCAGCCATAAATGAAAAAAAAAAAAAGAACGTAAAAGAATTTTAATCATCAAAAAGCAAAAACTGAGATGCAAACCTCAGAAGTTTAGTTTCATAATCAGAACCAAGGCTGTGTATGCTTATATTTGTGTGATTTTGCGTGTTCAGAACCAACAACCAAATGCATAAGCCAAAAAAATACATGGCATCATCATCCATTTCATTACAGTAACGACATTAAAGAAGAAAAAAAAAAAGAGAGGAATGAAATCATACCCAAGAACAGTTCTCCACAAGAACTTTGAAGGGGTGCGAAAGTGAATGGGGCCATGAGAAGGCTTGGTATTCATTCGCTTGCGAAGGAACCTCAAGTACTTCAAGTATGGCAGTTTGGCCCCCAAATTCAATTCCTTGCTGGTGAAGTCAATGTATCGTGGCAGCCCATTAAAATTGGGCCCAGAGGATGACAGACCCAAAAAAGATCCAGGGGGTGGATTAGGGCAGTATGTTGAGGAGTTTGTTGGCCCATGTGGTGTGGCCTACGGCCCACAGATAAAATTAATAAAAAACTATAATAATAGATAAAAGGGAAGCTGTAATTCCGTGTAATTCCAGAAGGCATCATATAATAATAACAATTTGATGATGGCATACATAATTATTAAAATTTACATAGTAACACACCTGTGAGTCAGGCATTAATATAAACAAAACAAGTAGTGTCAACACATCTTATTCATAACTTACAACCAAGTTTATCATGCTCAAAAAAACATGGACTAGTTGACGCTTTCAATATCTTGTATCTCAAAAAACATATCAACTCAGTAAGAACATGAAAACATATCTCTTTGCATTATGCTCTTTTCTTGTCAGGAATATTTGTGTTAAGATGTTAGATCAACAGGTATCATAAAAGGAAAATAAGGCTCAGCTAGATTTTGCTACCTGGTTCGATGCCTGTTCTTTCACCTTTCTTGATGCATCTTGCAAATTGCATGAATTCCCTGCTTGCTTCGTTGTTCGGTAATACCAAATACCAACACATGAGTAAGAACACAAAATAACCGGTCCAGACATTGAACGTGGGAAAAGCAAATACTTCAAATTACACACACATACTTCAACTTTCTCTTTCTTTTTCTACAACCTCAACCACATTGTTAAAGGCATTTAAACTAACAAGAGGCTCTGAAAAATAACTACATTCAGCAGGTGAAAAGGTCAAAGAACTCCAACAGCATACACCAAAAATAATGAAGCCAAAAATTATAACACAACATGCTATAAATTTCATTCCATTTTCGTAACTTCAAAAATAAATTAGAGACCCTAAAACTGAGCATTTAAACTGTGAAAATAAAGCATTTTGACAGCATATAACACAGCAGAAAATGCATAAATAAGCTACAGAGATTTATGGTACAAACACATGAACATATATGTACATTTAATTTTTCTTTTCCTTCTTTTCATCATTCTGATAGCACACATGAAGAACCATATGAACTGAGGTTAAACCTCGGAAACTTAGTCACCTTTCAGCAATTAAACATGCCAAAAGGCCACAGCAAGGTCATAACAAAAACAACTAACATGAGGCCAAAACAAGCACTTCACGATCTCTTTTTCTCAATAAGATTCATACATGCTATAGGGCTTAATAAACCAAGATTAAAGCTGTAAAAAAAACACGTCATTTTCAGCAAGATAATAACACATTAAGCTCAGCATATAAAGGGCAACAACAATGGGTATATTCAACATACAAACTAGTCCAAGAGAAAGACATGAGGTTCAGCCAATTTACCTCTCGTTTCTTGGAATAAGGGGCCCGGTTCGCTGCAGCCGGGACACCCACAAGTCCTCAAAAGTGGCTTTACTGCCACTGCTCACGCTCCCGGTCGCTGCTCGGAACAAAGGTGCCTCAGACAACGAAAAGCCCACTCTAGGATGGTGCTCAAATCACCAGAAAAAGGGCCCTCAGCCCGGGCACTCTCCAAACGGCCGCTGGTCAAACACCAAGTCACTGCTCGTTCGCATTAAATACCTCAAAAAACGACTCAGCCCGCCCCTGCTCTTGATTGTCCCTCTGTCCGGCGGTTCGTGGCGGCTGAACGGCGTGACGGGGCGGAAGTCGGCGGGCTGCTCACGCGAACAGAGGTTAGTTGATCTGGTCTGGTGGTTCGACGACGATGGTCGACTGTCGGGGCGCGGCTGTTCACGACGGCGGCTCCCCCTGGACGGCTCGCGAGCGGTTTGCGCGTCTCCCGACAGAAATTGGCTGCCCTCTGCGTCGGTCGAACGTGGCAGCGGCCCCACTTCGCTGGTCTCCGACGGCGTCGCCGGCGTGGCGTACGCGGGTGCCGCTCGTGGTCAGGGACGGCAGGGTTCTCGGTTGCTTGAGGAGGCCTCGTCGGAATCGCTCAGCAGCACAAGGGCGTTTCAGTCGCTGCGCTCATCTCGCCGGAAGAGCTGAAGCTTCAGGTCGCCGGAATTGTTGCTGGGATGCGACGTAGGAAGGATGAGGCTCGCTGTTGCTGCTCGCTTCTGCCGAAAAGGGTCAGAGACGACGGGGAATTTTGAGGAGGAAGTAGAGGAGGGGCGATGCAGAGTTCTGGAACTGGAAGAAGAAATGAGATTGCGGCTGTGGGCCGGTTTGTACACTAAAGATGGACCAAAAAATATAATAACTAGAAAGGGCCCAAAAGTTATCAAGTTCAAAAAAGAACAAACTTTAGCTAAATAAATGGTAGAGAGGCGCCTGAACTTCAGATCGAAAACGAACTATTTTCGTTTAATGAATAAATAAATAATCAAATAAATACAATCATATATAACTAATGACGGCAGAAATTAATTAAAGGCAGGCTAGCAATTACATAAAGGTAAGCAGATAATAAATACAACAAGTAGTAATAATTTAAGGCAAACAATTACATAAATAAAAGCAAGTAATAACAATTAAAGACAAAAATAATATAATAGATACAGAAACATATAATTCGAATGGGGCGTTACAGAAACCCTTCGCAAACTCTGGATTTTGAAACAGAGCAGCGAAGTCCAGTATCGTCGGTATCACGCTGGTTCTTCTGGCGGACGGGGCGGCACCCCGGTTGTGACCAGCCCTTGACGTTTGATCTTGTTGTCCTGATTGGGACATGATTTTCGGCCGCATGATGAACACGAACACAAATGCTGAGAACTTATGTTACTCTTGTGTATGGAATCGAAGATTAATTCCAAACAACTTATGAAGCCCTTCCTTCTAGCGCCAAACTGTTGTTATGCGATAATTAACAACGATAATAACTTGTAATTAATGATATAGAACGGTATAAGTGTTTAGCTTTGGGATTATCGTAAGATTGAACTATTATAGGAAGTCGGTTTTTGTATGAACCGAGTAGAATTTACATGTATTTTCTTTTTGTCCGAAAACTGAATCCTCGTACAGGAACTAATTCTTTTATTCATAGTAACTTTTGTTGGCTCGATGTTCAAGGTTGGTACGGCCGCATTTAATGCAAAGTGAATGGGGGCAGTTCGTACTGAAGTTGGACCCACAAGTTATAATGACGACATGTTTGGAGGGCGGTTTGTTCAATTGGTCGTGTAGGCGTCTCGTCACCACCTTTAAGCTCGGTTGATCGTGTAGGTCGGTTGTCGTGGATGGGCAAGGTCGGTTCTGCGTCTGGTTCAAATTGAGTTCATCCTACTTTGAATGAGCTTCATATCAGTATTTGTTTTCCTCTGAATTTAGTGACTCGTCAAGATTGTAACATTGTCATAATTTATTTTGCCCAAAAAACTTCCTTTTACCACTATTAACGCCAATTTTATATTTTAAGACAAACTTCCTTTTACCACTATACATGCCCTAATTCATTGGCTTAATTCGCTTTTTGGGCGCTTTATTTATTATCTTAAAATTAAATTGTGTACTCAAATTCGTGAACTACATACTAGCTCATTCTTAACGTCCTACCCTAGCTCCTCTCTATCATCATCAAATTCAACTGTTTTCAGGAAGTCTATTCGCCTCTTCATTGAACAAGAAGACAAAAGAAGAAGGAAAGGAGAAGAAATAGTAGTTTCCTGATTGTTTGTAGCTGATTCATGTTTCCTAGTAGTAATCGTGTTGTTGGGTGCTCATAATTTAATGGTTTTGCACTTGGCTTCCGATACATCACCCCTTTGCCGTGGTTTTTTATCACACCGGAAACACTTTTTCATTGCCATCTGCCCTTGTGCTGCTCCTAATTACAGAAACAAGTGTAAAGGTATAGCAGCTAAAAATGTGAGATGGGCTCCAAAGACTCAAGCTTGCTCTAATGGCGGAAGTAGGAATCCATTCAAATATGCCACCAAAGGGATGGTATTAAAGCGATTTTCAGAGGAGGAGGAGGAGGATTACGATTCCACTTGTTTGACCGTCAATGGTAAGACTGGGAGTAGCAGCTATTATAGCAGCACCAATTTTGGGGAAGAAGACCCTATTGTGGATAAGCTGAGGAATCAGCTTGGGGTCATCCATCCTATTCCCTCTCCACCTCCGATAAACCGCAATGTTTTCGGCCTCTTTGCTTTCTTCTTTTTTGTTGGTGTTGTTTTCGATAAGCTGTGGACGTCAAGAAAGAGAAATGGAGGGAGAAGTAAGGGAGAGCAAGTGCCGAGTAGCCTGTCTTCACTTCTCGAGAAGGATTTGCAGAGGAAAGAGTCAGTAGAGTGGGTGAACATGGTGTTGGGGAAGCTGTGGAAGGTGTATAGGGGTGGGATTGAGAATTGGATCATTGGGCTTTTGCAACCTGTGATTGACAATCTCAAGAAGCCAGATTATGTGGAGAGGGTTGTGATCAAGCAATTCTCCTTGGGCGATGAGCCTTTGTCAGTTAGAAGTGTCGATCGCAGAACATCCCGTCGCGTTAATGACTTGCAGTAAGTACAACCCCAGCAAAAAGCCATGATTGTTTTTTGTGCTTTACATCGATGATTTTGCAAAGGCCAGATTTTTTTATGCATTTCTAATTTGTGTATTGTATTCAAGTTCTGTGTGAGTTGATAATTGTTTCCTTCATCTTACCAAGATATCAGATAGGCCTGCGCTATACTGGTGGGGCTCGGATGCTTCTACTTTTATCCCTTAAATTCGGCATCTTTCCTATTGCTGTGCCAGTGGGTGTCCGGGATTTTGACATTGACGGGGAATTATGGGTCAAACTGAGACTCATACCAACCGAGCCATGGGTGGGAGCTGCTTCCTGGGCTTTCGTTTCTCTTCCAAAGATAAAATTTGAGCTCTCGCCATTTCGCTTATTCAATTTAATGGGTATGCTGTTACTCTCGCTTCTTTTTAATGGTCTAAGCTCCTTTACCTGAATTAGGAGTAGTATGAGACCATTTTGAATCAGGCTCTAACTTCAAATACTTATGCAAATTGTAGATAAACATGATTGACAAGGAGGAATGATATATCGGTCTTTGATTGCTACGCATAGACATTGAATTTTAAAACTGATTTCTTAATCAAGGGAAGCATGACATGCATGGCTATTAAAGTTTGTCCCTTGTTTCTTGCTTTGATGTTTAACGAGGATGGATGTTTACATCATTTATTTCATTCTTCTACATGTTTAATGCTTTTGATGTAATTCATTTATATTGATGCTATCAGTAAATATAATATAATAGTTGAGCCATACTAATTTCTGTTTCTTCTTTTGTACCCTTTTTTATGTACGGGAAATATCCAGCAATACCGGTCCTCTCCATGTAAGTGATTTTCATCTTGCAAATTTTTTAGTAATATTAGCTTATCCTGCTCTGTTCCATTTAAATCTTTGTTAATTATTTTNAGTTTGATGATTTCCATTTGATGTTGTACAACCAGAGGTAACTGATTCTTGACACGTTCAATTTCATTATTTGGTACCCAATATATGCTTATTCCGTGCTTGTCCATGGAATATGGATCTAGTGTCTGGTAGAAGTATTAACTTCTCTGTTTTTAATGTTCTTTTTACCCCTGAGAGGCTTGCGGCATAGGTCATTCATTGGCATATTACAGCAGGTCTGAATTAATGTTCTGCTGTTCCCGTCCTATATATGGAAAGATTTTTAAATTCTTCTTCTAATGGCCAATTAATTAAGTAGATGACTTAAGATACTGTTACTGCATTTGGTTTGCTAATTGAATCCCCAATAGATATGTCAAATACATTTTTCACTCTTCTTCTTCTACAATCATACTGTTTATTGGACATGCACCCGTATCTCAGATGCTGTACTTTCTGCTAAGTGCTTTTGCCATTCATTTTATAAGTTTTTCCATTAATTTCTATAATTTCTGAAAATTCGATCTCAGAGTCATTTTAAATTCAAATTCAATTGTTTCTTCTGGGATGACTGAGCTAAATGCTTCTGCTTGCAGGTTTCTTACAAAGCTTCTAACAGAGGATTTACCTAGGCTATTTGTGCGTCCAAGAAAGATAGTTCTGGATTTTCAGAAAGGAAAAGCTGTAGGACCTGTTCCGGATGATACCAAATCTGCAGAAAATCAAGAGGGAAATAATGAATTTGCTGGAGAATTGTCTGTGACTCTTCTAGATGCACGAAAACTCAGTTATATATTCTATGGTAAAATAAGTAACTACTTTTTATTTGGCTAACGAACTGAGTTGTCAATTGTTGGCATGAATGCAATCAGCTTATGAGAATAACTACTACTCAGATTAAATAATCTCTTCTTACATAGTACTATGACACTTTTGCTATCCCGTGACATTTCAGGCAAAACTGATCCATATGTTATTATAAAATTGGGAAATCAAGAGATACGTAGCAAAAGAAATAGCCAAACCACAGTCATCGGACCTCCTGGTGAGCCTATCTGGAATCAGGTGAGCAAAGCTCCAACTAAAAAGATGAATGATTTTGCATTATTTTATGGGCCTCCTATGGGTAGGTTCATTACTTCAACTAGCCCCATGGTTCTCGAATTGATCTCTTAGTTCTTTATCTGTTTGCGATTGCCTGAAATGTATGGTTTCATGAGAATCAAAGCGATATTCTGGACCTATTTTTTTTATACTACTTTAATTAAATCTCGCAGGATTTTCACTTGTTAGTTGCTGATCCTCGGAAAGAGAAATTATTCATTGAAGTGAAGGATTCTCTTGGATTTACAGACTTGACTGTGGGTACTGCATTGGTAAGATTTTAAATTTGCAATTTTTTCCCCTTGTCTAGGCATAATAGGTGTTCGATGCTGTTCGCTTCTGGGTTTGCAAAATGTGCGTGCATGTTAGATGGAAACATTCACTCTTGACCTAGTGCTTTGACATAATAATAATAATAATAATTGTGATACCTTTTACTAATGCCCACCATATGGAGCCAAGGGAAGATAGTTTGGTTGACGGTCAATGTCTTGTCAAGGCTCCAAAGGAGTGGTGCTTACCGCGGTTCTTCTTGCTAAAAGTCAAAAGGAAATATCTTCTGGACTCTTCTTTATTGTTGCTAAAAATCAGAAGATTTTTTAGAAGATTCCATGCAATGGTCCGCCTACGAAATCTACTCTTAACTTAATGTTAATGGGTGAACGAAGTTTAGCCTAATTCAAAAAGAGCATTGCCCATATTTTGTTGTGGAGGTGGAATAAAGGCATACATCCTGGGTGGGTAGCCCGAACGAATCTATGGAGCAAGGGGGACGAAGTAGGCTTCGTTCTATTCTTGACCAACAAGAAAGCCGCATAAGTCAATATGTAACCTACGAAAGATCGTTTGCGGGTTTGGGTTCTGTAAGACTTCCACGCATACCCTCGGTCACCGAGCCGAGCTTTGGCATGACGTACGCGTGGAAAGGTTAGCAAGCGGAAAGAGCCTATTCCCCAGTACATCTATCACTTTCTTTCTATTTCTTATGAAGTGGCGGTGTAATTGAGGTGATTCGAGAAAAGATGGAATAGGAGGGCGTGTTTCTAGAACGAACTAGCGGGCAAAGGATAGATGTAATTACTTGTTTATCAAGCCGGAGGAGAGAATTAACGCCAAGGCATCTTGAAATGCATCCCCTCTCTTCTTTGACTTCTTTATGGGGCCCCTACTTCCCCTATAGGTGGGGAAGTTTTTAATGTGAAATATTCACCACCAGTCTGATGCACTGTTAGTAGTAAAGAATCAGGAAACAAGAAAATAAGTAAATTTATTGATGATATAATAATAGGGATGAAGATGTATGAAACTTCTCCAGCGGGAACTGAAAAATCTCTGCCCAGCAAGAGTACTTTACCCAACTGCTCCAATGGCACAATGTCTATTTTGAGATGTATGGTGTGGAGAAAGAAAATATATTTTATTTTTGTCTCCAATGGTTAAATGTCAATTATGAAATAAATTGACACATGTAAGATAATAATTGGTTGGCGGATATAAAAATATAAAATAAATAATATAATATAGAAGAATATGTCTAGAAGCCCTTCATTGATCCGGGAATCCAAACATTGGTTGGCTCAGGGAATCACCAAAGGAAGGTGAGAAAGCCCCTACATATATTCAACTTGACCCAAAAGCCTTGAACCCAGTCGTCATGCCAGCATCCAATCGCATCTCCCAAAGGCCGAGGGATCTTACATATTTCAAATGCCACATTGGATTTTTAGGATTATGTGGCAATGGAAGAGAGCAAATCCAATGACCATTGGAGATGCTCAATGTTATTACAAACTGAATCTCCATGTTCCTATGCTGTTGATGACGCTGTCGTATATACTAAGTTTTTGCTATTATGAAATGTTAATAACATATAAAAGAATCAATTAAAATAAAAGGCATATAAGGAATACCAAATCTTTCAAAATTTTCAAGATTAAGCACCATTTTCAGCATAAGATATCCTGAAGTTGATTTCTTGTGGTTCTTTCATCTCTATCATGCACACTATCAGAAACCTTATTTATGTTCAAGTGAATATCCTCAATATTTTTAACAATTGAGTGCAATCAGGTTGATCTTGGATCTCTGAAAGACACTGTTCCAGCGGACAGAATAGTGGTACTTCGAGGAGGTTGGAGCCTGTTTGGAAATGGTTCAGCTGGAGAAATCCTATTGCGCTTGACCTACAAAGCATATGTTGAGGATGAAGAAGATGAAAGGTCTGTGAAAGTCTCAACAGATACGGAGGCATCTGAGGATGAGCTATCTGATTCCGATGAGCAGCGTCCAAAGGAATACATTATTGGACCCGACAAGGAATCTTTCATGGATGTTTTAGCAGCATTGTTAGTAAGTGAGGAGTTCCGAGGGATAATGACTTCCGAAACACTGAATGCCAACAGGTCTTTAGATGCCGAGATAAGTAGCCCTACATCAGAATCCTATGCCAAAACCGAACTGCCAGCTCCTGCAAATAATAGTGGTAGTTCTCGAGGTAGTCATATTTTGGGATTAATGTATCCTACTGTTTGGATTTGTTATGTTTCGGTTTATTTATCAATATATTCCCTGTTAACTCCAACCTCTAATTTGCAGGGTCAACTTTGTTTTGGCTTGCCTTTGTCACAAGTATCTCAGTCCTCATAGCTTTGAATATGGGTGGTGCCAATTTGTTTAATCCTTGATACAGTGTGAGTAACGTGACACATAAGGCACCATTTTTCAAAACCTAGACCTGAATATCTACGCATCACACACGCGCTTAATCAATAAGAGGGAAAAAAAGGGGAAAAACAACTGGATTCTTTGCTTCTGTTTGTGCTTTATTTTGACAGGTGGTCTTTTTATAACTAATAATGACATTGCTGACCCTAGGATGCTTGTGTCACAGCCATGTCGAGATTGCTGCTTGCTTATCTTGGATGTACAGAGAAAAGAGAACTACCCTAATATTTCAGCCAGGAGAGGAGAGTATACTATTTTTGCATTTACTAGGTTAATTGTTTATTACTTTATAGGCAGAGTGAGTGTGTTTTGTTGGCGGAAAATTTCAGGGTATTGCTATAGGTTAGACGTGATAATTTTATATCACTAACTAGTTTGTTTTGTGCACAGCCGGTCCAATTATTGTCATAATTAAGCATGTAATTAAACTATAATCGAGTTTTATGCTATGTTGTAAAAGTGTGTTAGTGATTGAATATTAATTTTAGTACATACGTATCATGCTTTTATTTATTCTTATAATATATAACTAAAAGCACGATAGCCGCTACCATTTTGAAAATATTACTATCGACAATAAGCATCGAGTTAAATCTCATTTTGCTTACAATGCCTTAATCTATAGTCGAAATGTAAAAGTCAGGCCACACGAAACTTCAACTACAATTTTATTTCAAATGCCCTAATCCATAGTCCAAAGATAAAAGTTACTAAAATTCAACTACAATATAATTTGAAATTACTTGTCGGTTCTTGATGTCAAGTTGTTTAGTGCTAAAGTTGCATTGAAACACACATTTGATTTTAACTCTAAATGTGATTATACGGTACCAATGAAGAATGTGTACTTTTTAGAATGGAACTTACAATTATATATGGAATTTGGGTCATCATTTTTGCACAACATTTATAATAATAATAATGTAATCTTCTATTTTTGGACTACCCTTTTAGGGTTCTTATTCGTACTAATATTAAGGGAAATGTTAGATTATATAGATACCCGAGATTTCACCATTTCAAAACTAAACAAGCATAGCTAACTTTGAAGGGGTTTTTTCAAGCTGCTACTCGGTCTAAATCTTCTCGCGAGCCTAAATCCATTGTTTTATAGAGGAAGAACAATATACAGTGGTAATTCATCTTTTATAGAGCATAAGCCTATGATTCCATGATCAGAAGGACAGTGAAAGTGACTCACACACGCAGAGACAAAGTATATCAACAGAATCTAACAAATTTATAAGACGACGAATAAGAGATTTGCATTCTTGAATTATTTCATCCTTATTATCAAGTGAACTAATAAATATATTATCCTCTCATCTCTTCAGTTGTATCATCATAAACCTTATGTTGTGCCAATAGCAGCCTTCTCAACTTTCCACCAAGCCAAATTCAAAAACCAATACAATCAAAACATAACAAAACCCGGCAGTCATGATTCACAAATTTCCGAATCACCACCACCAAAACATCACCTAAGAAGCAAGAGAAGGTGGGGCATCAACCGTACCAACATTAGCTCGTAACCCTCTCACGAAAAGTGGATCCCGTCAAGCTCATGTACTAACATGGGTCCCTAAAATCCGACTTCGTGCTCTCCTTGTTGAAATTGTGCTTCCCGCCCGTCCCACTGCACGCCCTCTTTAAATCGAGACCTACACTATTTTCTAGTTAAAAACATCAACTTACATAAATTGCATGAGTTTAGAAAGTATATATATTTGATAAGTATTTGATTAGCTATAAATGTGTGTACGCCCTATTTTTTTCTTTTCCATCAAGATTACTTTTCTGTTGTCTCCGTTTTTCCCCATTCAATAAGAAAAGGGAGCCTTCAACTCAAACTTTGAGCAGAACATGGTAAAAAAAGGAAAAAGAGTCACAATATATTCAGATAATTGTAAAAATAAATATTAACATGAAATGTTTAGAGCCGAATTGATGAAATGTTAAAAAAACATGTTTGCCTATCCTTTTCACTTGATTGAGGGTCCTACTTATAATCTTAGAGGTTACAAATTAAGAAGAAAATAAATATAACTAAGAGAAGAATAAAAAAGAATCATATCCTTGATTTCCTCCCAAAATATTTCCTGATTTTGTTACTTCCATGTTTGCCATCTCCAATATCTCACAAAGCCCATCAACAAAAAAAAAAGAAAAAAAAAACTATACAGGGATATTCATACATGCAAAATTTTGATGTTTAACTTCATGCTTGTAAAGAACAACCAACACGTGGAGTTAAAAAAGCATGAGCAGATAAATTTTAGTTGATTGATATAATTCTTGAAGTTTATTGGTAGAGAGTAGTTATGTTATGTAAGTTTTATTCATACAACTCTATTATACAATATTTCATGTCTGGTGTTATGAATCACATGAGCTCTTGAACAAAGTACGTCATATGACTTTCCAGAGCTCTACAAAAGTATCATAATTAGTTCAAAGGGAAAACATTTTGATCTTTAAACATATGACTATTTTATATTGAGTATGCAGTACAAAGTCCCATAAACACATAGAGAGATGCATGGCAACTACCTTGTTAGTGTCAACCAGAGTAAGCACAGTTAGTTGCTTCAGCTTCATGACTTGCTCAGAGACCAATTGAGGGAAACGGTTAGCAATAGCTGCATCATTAGATCACAACAGAAAATGTAAAAAGGCATCCAGGGAGAAAATAAAAATAAATTCCTTGAAGTTAGAAGTCTTATAGAGGGAGAACTAAACAAATAAATAACTTAAGCACCATATAACCAAGTATTTGTCAAGAGTGCTAGTCTTTTTGTTAGATCCCACCTCAGAACTCTCCTTCCATTAAAGAATAATATGAGCATCATTAAATAAGTACAAAGGATACTTGCAATTCACAATCAGTTATGTTCAGGAACAGAGTAACGAGGTCAATGATAATATAATATAATCTATATTATAGATGCCGTTTCCTAGTTGGAGTCAGCCAACAATGGTGAATGGTAACAGGATTCTCCTATACACATATAAACAAATAAATTGAAGTGTATTACTACTGAATTCATAAAAGTCCAGGCGGCGCTTTTCTCTTGACTTGAGCAAAGCGAAGAGGTAGCTTTGGGCTAGCTTGACTTTGCAGTTCTTTGTATTTGATTATTTTGCAATTTATTCAATTTCCAATCTCATAAATAAGAAGTAAGGTAGTAGAATTATATAAATCACCTCAGTCATCAACATTTCACAGAAACGTACCTACAACAACTCAAATGTAAAAATCCTTGGTGATGGCTCAGAATCATATTTCTAAACAGCTGTTCAGTGTTCTCACTAATTGCCCTGAGAAATGAGTGGCGGAAAATGTCCTCCGCCTGCATAGTATACAGTCCCCTGTGCAAGAGCTCAGAAGAAAATGACAATTGAACTTTGTTTTAGCCATTTAGGGTAGTGAAGCATTATGGAAGTTGCTCTCGCGTTCAACCATTAATTAAAAGGTTAAATAGAAAACAATACCTGACAGTTGGGTGTTTTTTCTTCATGTACTCTATGTGCTTCTGAGACTGTTAAACCTGACCAGCCATAAAGTCTCAATTACATTGAATAAAAAGAGAATGTCTTTGTATCACTAAGAATTTCTGTACTCCTGACTTTGCGATGGACAAATTCGTTGAATGAGCAACTGTGGTTTCTTGATTTACAACTCTAAAACAAATATTCGCGATGGACATATATCATTTCACAACCAAATAGACCTGTTCGAGCAACTAACATCAACATATTCGCCCAATAATAATCCAACATACACTATAAACAAACAAATGAAAACACAATAATTTGTTGAACAAACAATATATACAAAACGATATAATTCGGTTTATACAGACAATCCAACAATTGAAAATGAACACAAAATTCACGAATTCAACACAACTAACTAAGAAGGAGTGTATGGATCCCTAGGCTTGCGCGCTCTGGACCCCCTTCGAGTATATACCATGTGAGAAGAAGACGAAGGTTGAGGTGTGAGAAGCGTGTCAGTTTGAAAAGCCTGCTCATTTTCATCTTCTTCATCTGAATAATTCAATTGAAAAAAGAAATCATAAATTGGACTGGAAAAAAAAATTGTAATTTAAAAATCTCACCTTGTTGAGGCTCGGGCTGCTCAGGTTGGAGGTGCTGGGCGGACGACGGAGCGCGGGGACGGGCCAGAGGTCTTCTAACCCCACCAATGTTGGGGGCGGGTTGATGCCTGGCCGTGTGTGACTGTGTTCTCATGGGTCGAATGTATTCGTCCTGGGAGAAAACTTGGCTGGACGGCCCCCCATGTGGAACACCCTGGCCCCCAACAGTCAAAGAAGAGAAGGCAAAGTTGTACGACTGTTGGAAGTCGGTCTGCGCTTCTGGAGGGATTTGAGGCATTAATGGTTGAATGTCAAATAATGCGCCATAAACCCCTTGTAGTGCAGAAGTCTGTAAATAAAATTCATAATAATTAGTATGAAACACACACAAAAATATAATAAACACAAATAATGAACACTTACCTGACAGCCTAACCGCTCGACAAGTGGATGATACCCGCCCGCCTGCTGGAACTCCAGGTAATTGGCAGGGTTATTGATGAATCTCACAGTCTTGCTGTGAAACCATTCAAGGTAACCCTGCTCCGGCTGCAGATAGTCGTGCACGGGGGCACCTAGGAGGAGACGTTGTTCTATTTCTTCGGTCCACGAGCTCAGAAACGGCACATGGAACGCGACCCAATCATGAAACGCCCTCCCAGTCATCCCCTGACCCTTGTGGTGTGTGTCCCAATCTCGCTCATCCAGAATGATCGGATCTTGGGGGATGGACTGGCGACACCCAAACTGATGGAGGACCCTGTCAGGCAGGTGTACCTCTCGGGTGTTCCAACTGAAAATCTACCCCCGGTACATCCAAAATTGTGGATCTCTTGAGCACGCCTCCGGGAGAGTTTCATCCTCCAGGTGTTGTCGATAGAGCTGCCAATCGAACTGTAAAAAAAATAACAATTGAATTAGTAATTAAGTTATTACAAAATTAGAAACATAAAAAGAAAGATATATCAAGTAATAGGAATTAAGAATATTACATCATACTCTCCCAACCCTGTTAACTGATCCTGGTAGGCAACCAATGTATTGGCTATGTTGGACCTCTTTTTCTGTCCCACCCACCTTAAAAATCAGAAAAAAATAAAGAAAATTGTAATCACAAAATTTGATAATGAAAATAATGTATGGATTAAATAAAAATAAAGGTTACCTCGCTCCCAATGGACAATCAGGCAGGGTATCAAACCTACTGGTCTTGACTATTGGGCGAATACGAGGGATATGCTCCCATGCCCAAACCTACACAAATGGACATTAATTTTGTTATTAGGTATTAGTCGAAGTAAGAAAAATAAAATATTAAATTTTCAAATAACAATTAAATAAATTTACCTGGATCAATTGAACGCAGTTCTTCATCCACTTCTCCTTGGCCTTGTACGAGGTTGACAACGCTCTGTATACTCCGGCCAAGAGCGCTGATCCCCAGCTGTACCCCTTAACAGCATCTATGTCCTGCAGCAGGTCGAGCCAGTAAAGTGGGACGCCATTCGCCCGCTGGTCGGGGAAGATGAAGGACCCAATGCACCAGAAGATAAGGGCCCTCGCCCTCTGCTCGTACACGATGTCCGGTTGTCCTTCTTGCAACACACGGTTGCATTCCTCCTCTAACCCTCTATCATTCAGATACTGGCCTTTAATGTCCCAAGAAGGACATTAAAGGTTGTCCTTCTTGCAACACACGGTTGCAACACACGATGTCCGGGAGTCGAGGAAGCGAAGTGCGAGAAGCCTTGGGTGATGTACGTTGACGGGTCGATTTTCGACCCTAGCCGCAGGTCCTTCAGTTATTTATCTCAGTGGATGGTCGTTCGATTTTCGACCCCGTTGCAGTCTCCTGGTGTTCATTGGGAGGTTTGATGACTATTTCATGATTGAGGACTTAGTCGAATTATAATCTCAGTGGCAGGTTGACGGAAATGGCCCGAAGAGACATCTCACTCTTGGATCGAGTCATGCTTACTCGACCAGAGTGAGGGAGACTAGATGATATATGATATTATATTAGACCGGGTTAATGGATAAAGGAATATATATTGAAGAATAAGCCCACAAATGGGCTAAAACAAATAGCATAAAGGCATGGGCCAAGCCCAACTTGGGCTCAAAAGGTACACTCCCCCTATAAAAAGGGCTAAGGTATCTCATTAACTCACTCTCTCTTCATTCATTACTATACTTTCCTTTTGAAACGAGTGCTGACTTAGGCATCGGAGGCCCGATGCCGGGACCCCTCACACGTTGGGTTCTTGCAGGTACAGAGGCCGTTCAAGTCGAAGGAGTCCGGGTGAAGTCAATTTTACCATTATTATGTTATTTAAAATAGTAAATATAAATAATATCATAATTAAATATAATAAAATAATTTTATATTTCATAAAGTTAGAAAATAATACATTTCTACGTAAATTCTAAACTATTAATTATATGAATTTTTTTTTTTTTTAAATTAATAAACGTGAGACACTGGCTCTATAAATATAAATATAATCACCATACAATAAAAACTGTTTTGTTAAAAAAAATCAAATATATGAAGTTGTATATAATATCAGTTTTATACATATATAATTTAAAAAATTTAACTATAAATATTTTTTTTGGCAAATTTTAGTGTAAAAAGACGTGCACCATTTTAATTAATTATCACTTTGTTCCTTATTTATTATTGTTGCATCATATATAATTTTACAATAAAAATATAAATTATTTTAAATTTTACTGTACAAATATTAATATATTTAAGTACCCGTGTAGTATACGGATAGAGTAATGATATAAAACCCACTTGGATTACAACTTGGGTTACAACTCAAGTGTAAATGCGTTGTTTTTTAATTTCTTGATAATGCATTTACACTTGAGTTGTAATCCAAATTGTTATCGAAGTTGTAATCCAAATTGTCATACGGATATTGTGCTAGTGAAGATTAAATTTGGAGTAATGCTAATTGTTATAAAAGCCAATTGGATTACAACTCAAGTGTAAATGTATTATATTTTAATTTCTTGATAGTGCATTTAGAGTTGAGTTGTAATCGAAGTTGTCATCTAAGTTGACTAAATAATATTATTTTTAAATTTGCAACACCAGGGCTAAATTTATAATTTTCCAAATATATATTCACATGCAATTTTATCCTAATTCTAATTGGGTGTTGCTAAATACCGCACCCTTTTTGCTAAATACCGCACCCCAATTTACATTTTTGCCCTTTTTATAAAAAAAAAAAATATGGACGCACATAAAAAACCAGGGCCCAAGCAGCACTAACAACACACTACTAATTCGAAAAAACACATCAAAAAGATAAGTTTTTTTTTATTGATACAAATCAAACATAAAAAACCGAAAAAAATAGCAATTTAATTCGGAAAAAAAGGGCAACTTCAAAACATCACAGGTAAGTTTTTTTTTTTTTTTTCGTTGATACAAATTTTTTTGGAAAAAAAAAAAAAAA